GTTACCCCTTCTGCAAAGAGGGTCACAGGCTCTGGCCTTAGAGGTCGGCTGCTGGGAGGTGCTAGGGGGTGGTGGCAGCACCCCGAAAACACAAGCCTCTTCCAGGGCAGAGGGATTTGACACACAGACGTTGGAGATTATCCACCCGGGTCCGAGGGGAGAAAGGAGCGGCCACCCCCCAAAACAGAGTCTGAAAAGTAAAGGCCCCGGGGGGCACCTACCCGACGGCACCCGCTCAGCCAGACAGGATGTGCTTGACGAAGGCTGTGGGGGGAGGAGAGAGGCTTTAGGCAGTGGAACTGGGCCCCCAGAGGCACCTGGATGGCCCCTCCCTTGGGAACCCCCCCCCTTTCCCGGCCCTGCGGCTGGAGGGTCCCCGACTCCGGGCTCTCACCTTCATAGTTGATGCAGCCGTTGGAGTCCTCGTGCCCGGACAGGAGGGCGTCCACCTCCTCCTCCGTCAGCTTCTCGCCTGCAGCCGGAGGGGGCAGCGCGTTAGTGCTGGGGAGATGTTCCCCCCCGGCCCGGTGCCCACCCAACAGCCCCGGGGGGCCCTGTCCATGCTGGGTGCCAGACCCACAGCCCTGGGGGGGCCCTGTTTCCCCCCTGATCACTCTGGGGAGCCCTGCCCCCCCCATCTGGTGCCAGACCAACATCCCCAGGGGGGCCTGTTCCTGCCCGGTGCCCGCCTGACGCTGCCTGGTGCCCATCCAACAGCCAGGGGGGGGCTGTCCTTGCCCGGTACCAGACCGACAGCCCCGGGGGATTCCATTCCCTCCCCCCGGCCTGGTGCTCACTCTGGGGGGCCCTGCCCCCTCATCCGGTGCCAGACCGACAGCCCTGGGGCGGGGAGCATTCCCCGCTGCCCGGTACCAGACCAATAGCCCTGTTCCCCCCCACCCAGTGCCAGACCGACAGTCCTGACGGGCCCTGTCCTGCCCCCCCGGTGCCTGCCCCTGGGGGGACCCCACCCTGGGGGGGTCCTGCCCAGTGCCTGACCGACAGCCATGCCCATCCCCAAAAGGGCCCAGCCTGGATAGCAACAGGGCAAGCTGCCCCCTGCCCCGTCCCTGCCCACAGGCCTTGCCCAGCCCAGCACGGACGCTGAGCCTCGCCAGCCTCGGGGGCCCCTGTCTCGGGGGCTGCCCTGTGGGGGGGGGCCTCTGCCAGCGGCAGGTGGCGCTCACCCAGCGTGGAGAGCACATGGCGCAGCTCGGC